AATGACTATCATTCCAGCCTTTCCTATCGGAAAACCATTCTCCATGGCAATAACTTATTAAAGAAGTAGAAAAATGTGAAGTTTACTGGCAAATCAAGACCAAGGTTGGAGAGCGATGCACACAGTGAGGCAGCCAATATCCACGCATACTGTCAGGTTTTGAACCAGCAGTAGGAGAAATCAGAAAGTTCCAGAATCTCTCTTGTTAAACACACCTGGCAATGACTGAAAACAAAGATAAGAACAGGAAAAATAGGTTGCTATAATAATAGTCGCATTTAGTTTTTAATCTGACTGCTAATAGTTTTATTACAGGTACATTACAATTTTCTAAACCTAATTATCCTCTTTCCCACCAAGCAAGTCCACTCAGGATCAGTTATGACATGTAATATATCTCTTCCATTTAAAAAAAAAAAAGATAATGAATGTATCAGAATATCAAAAGAGACAAGTTCCAGGTCTCTTCTAACAAAAGAAATGGCTAATTATATCAGCTAATGTTATACGCATTATTTTGAATATGGTTACTCATGATGACCAATTAGTACAAAAGAGCTTTAGAAATTAAATCCTCCAGGAGATTTATAAAATCACTAAAGTCCCAAAAGTAAGAGGTGGAAGAGGTTATAGACCACTTTCAAGGATAATTTTCTTTTTTTAATGGTTAGTAAATACAGAACTCAAGGTTGTACTTTGGCTCTTGTGGACTTGTTTTCATTTTCTTCAGCTTCAACTTGAACTTGCATATGAGCAATTGATGGTCTGTTCCACAATTGGCCCCTGGCCTTGTTCTGACTGATGATATTGAGCTTTTCCATTGCCTCTTTCCACAGATGTAGCTGATTTGTTTCCTGTGTATCCATCTGGCGAGGTCCACGTGTATAGTCGCTGTGTGTGTTGTTGAAAAAAAGGTATTTGCAATGAAGAAGTTGTTGGTCTTGCAAAATTCTACTATGGAATTTTCGGCATCATTTCTATCATGAAGTCCATATTTTCCAACTACTGATCCTTCTTCTTTGTTTCCAAAGTTCCCATTCTAATCATCAATAATTATCAATGCATCTTGATTGCATGTTTGATCAATTTCAGACTGCAGACGTTGGTGAAAATCTTCAATCTCTGGCATTAGTGGTTGGTGTGTAAATTTGAATAATAATCATATTAACTGGTCTTCCTTGTAGGCATGTGGATATTATCCTATCACTGACAGCATTGTACTTCAGGATAGATCTTGAAATGTTCTTTTTGACAATGAATGTGACGCCATTCCTCTTCAATTTGTCATTCCCAGCGTAGTAGACTATACGACTGTCCGATTCAAAATGGCCAATAGCAGTCCATTTCAGCTCACTAATGCCTAGGACATCAATCTTTATGTGGTCCATTTAGTTTCTGACGACTTCCAATTTTCCTAGATTCATACTTCGTACATTCCATGTTCCAATTATTAATGGATGTTTGCAGCTGTTTCTTCCCATTTTGAGTTATGTCACCTCAGCAAATAAAGGCCCCAAAAGCCTGACTCCATCTACATCATTAAGAGTGATTCCACTTTGAGGAGGTAGCTCTTCCCCCATCATATTTTGAGTGCCTTCCAACCTGAGGGGCTCATCTTCTGGCAGTATAACAGACAATGTTTTACTGCTATTCATAAGGTTTTCACTGGCCAATTTTTTCAGAAGTAGGCCACCAGGTCTTCTTCCTAGTCTGCGTTAGTCTGGCAACTCCGCCAAAACCTGTCCAACATGGATGACCCCGCTAGTATTTGAAATGCCAGTGGCATAGCTTCCAGCATCACAGTAATACGCAAACTGCCACAGTACGACAAACTGACAGACCTGAAGTATATCCCACCGGAACTTAGAGACCATCTCAAGAATAGATTTGACGCATTAAACACTAATGACCAAAGACCAGACAAGTTATGGAATGACATCAAGGACTTCATATATGAAGAAAGCAAGAGGTCATTAAAAAGACAGTAAAGAAAGAAAAGACGAAAATGGATGTCAGAAGAGACTCTACACTTTCTCTTGAACATTGAATAGCTAAAGTGAACAGAAGAAATGATCAGGTGAAAGAGCTGAACCGAAGATTTCAAAGGGCAGCTCAAGAAGACAAACTAAAGTATTATAACGAAATGTGCAAATACCTGGAGTCAGAAAACCAAAAGGGAAGAACACGCTCAGCATTTATCAAGCTGAAATAACCGAAGAAAAAATTCAAGCCTCAAGTTGCAATATCGAAGTATTCTATGGGGAAAATATTAAACAACGCAGGAAGCATCAAAAGAAGATGGAAGGAGTACACAGAGTCACTATACCAAAAACGAATCGGTTGACGTTCAGCCATTTCAGGAGGTAGCATATAATCAAAAACCAACGGTACTGAAGGAAGAGATCTGAGCTGCACCAAAAGGAATGGTGAAAAACAAGGTTCCAAGAATTGTCAGAATATCAATTGAGGTGTTCCAACCAATGGATGCAGCACTGGAGGTGTTCACTCGTCTCTGTCAAGAAATTTGGAAGACAGCTTCCTGCCCAACTGCCCGGAAGAGATCCATATATTCGTGCCCATTCCAAAGAAAGGTGATCCAACAGAATTCGGAAATTATCGGACAGTATCATTAATATTGCACACAAGTAAAATTTTGCTGAAGTTCATTCAAAAGCGGCTGCAGCAGTACATCGATAGAGAACTCCTAGAAGTTTAAGCTGGATTTAGGAGAGGACGTGGAACGAGGGATGTATCATTGCTGAATGTCAGATGGATCATGGTTGAAAGCAGAGACTACCAGAAAGATGTTTGCCTGTTTTTTATTGACTATGCAAAGGCATTTGATTGTGTGGATCATAACAAATTATGGATAACAATGTGAAGAATGGGAATTCCAGAACACTTAACTGTGCTCGTGAGGAACCTGTACGTAGACCAAGAGGCAGTCATTCGAACAGAACAAAGGGATACTGTGCGGCTTAAAGTCCAGAAAGGTGTGTGTCAGGGTTGTATCCTTTCACCCTACTTATTCAATCTGTATGGTGAGCAAATAATCCAAGAAGTTGGACTATATGAAGAAGAACGTGGCATCACGACTGGAGGAAGACTCATTAACAACCTGCGATATGCAGATGACACAAGCTTCCTTGCTGAAGTGAAGAGGACTTGAAGCACTTACTGATGAAGATCAAAGACCACAGCCTTCAGTATGGATTACACCTCAAAATAAAGAAAACAAAAATCCTCACAACTGGACCAATAAGCAACATTATGATAAACAGAGAAAAGACTGAAGTTGTCAAGGATTTCATTTTACTTGGCTTCACGCTCAATGCCCATGGAAGCAGCAGTCAAGAAATCAAACAATGCAGTGCATTGAGCAAATGTGCTGCAAAAGATCTCTTTAAAAGAGATGAAAAGCAAGGATGTCACTTGGAGGACTAAGGTATGCCTGACCCAAACCATGATATTTTCTATCGCCTTATACGCATGTGAAAGCTGGACAATGAATAAGGAAGACCAAAGAAGAATTGGCACCTTTGAAGATTACTGAATACACCATGGACTTCCCAAAGAACGAACAAATGTGTCTTGGAAGAAGTACAGTGAGAATGCTCCTTAGAAGCAAGGATGGTAAGACCTCGTCTCACGCACTTTGGACATGTTATTAGGAGAGACCAGTCCCTGGAGAAGAACATCATGCTTAGTAAAGTGGAGGGTCAGTGAAAAAGAGGAAGATCTTCAACGAGATGGACTGACACCGTGGCTGCAACAATGGGCTCAAGCATAGCAAAGACTGTGAGGATGGCGCAGGACCAGGCAGTGTTTCGTTCTGTTGTACACAGGGTTGCTATGAGTTGGAACCAACTCGACAGCACCTAACAATAACAACAAATACAGAACAAGATTTTAGTCTTAGAAATGTTTTCATTATCTAGCTTTACCTAAAACTTCTTCTACATGTCTTTATTATTATCATTATTACTACTAGACACACACAAAGGTGGAGAGAATAGCATAATGAATCCCTACAATTTATTTTATAAATTAAAAGAGATTTAAAGTTTTCCTACAGTATCAAGATATTGCTTTGCATTCTGATATACTTTCTTGAGTTAGGGGTTAAAATCTGCATCAACCTGCAGACTCTCTTAGCTATGCCAAAGTCTGGAGTAATGACTACCGATGTGCCCCTAACAGTGCCAGAGGTGACCAACCACTGTCATGCTTTACCTCCCTGCAAGATGTCATTGGGTTTTTTTTTTTTTAAACCTGGGTATACCCAGGGGGGTATCACCCACATGAATGCCATCTGTGATAAGAGATAAGGTAGAAATGAGGGTGAGAAGCACTGATTTTGATGTCTTAATCCTTGAGACTTCCACCATCTTCTATCAGTTTGTCATACTATGGTGGCTTGTATGTTGTTATGATGCTGGCAGCTATCCCATCAGTATTTCAAATACCAGCAGGGTCACCCATGGTGGACAGGTTTCAGCCATGGTCTTTTCAATTGCCTCATATGCATGCGAAAGTTGGACAGTGAAACAGGAAGGCAGAAGAAGAACTGACACATCTGAATTGCAGTGTTGGTGAAGAATACTGATTATACTATGGACCACCAGAAGAAGGAACAAACCAGTTTCGGAGGAAGTACAGCCAGAATGCTCCTTAGAAACAAGGATAGTGAAACTCTGTCTTGCTTACGTTGGATACGTACGTCATCAGGAGGGTCCAGTCGCTGGAGAAGGACGTCATATTTGGCAAAGGAGAGGGTCAGCGAAAACGAGCGAAACCTTCCATGAGATGGATTGACACTGTAGCCGCCACAATGGGCTCAAATATATGAACAATTGTGAAGGTGGTGCAGGACGGGGCAATGTTTCTTTCTGTTATACATAAGGTCACCATAAGTTGGAGCCGAATCGACGGCAACTAACAACGAGAACAATCCTTGAGACTTAGTGGAAAGTCTCATCTGAGCCATGGAAAAGCAGCCACAAATGTCAGCCAGCACAGCGCTGCCCCTCTGAGGGCGGCAGAGGGACATCCTCTGCCCTGGCAGCTCTACGCTCTGGGAGGTCTTAACCAGTGGATGGCAGCATGGTACAGAACTGCCTCACTTTCTCAGTCCTCCATGCACAGTGCAATCAGGCTCAACACAATCTTCTGTGAAGACTCAATATCTAAAAAGTGGCCAGCAGTCCTGGCCGCAGGTCACACCAGTCTGCCTAGCTCTGCTGAGCTCATTTCAACCTTCCCTACAGTACAGAGGGCTGGGAGAGAAGCCCTTGATTCGTCCACCTTGGCTTGGAAGACAAGCTTCTTTAAGAGTCTTCAGCCACAACTGTAATACACAAAGATCTCCTACAAACTGACAAGAAAATGACAAACAACTCAATAGGAAAACAGGCAAGAAATATGAGTACACAAACAAGCTAAGGGCAAAGCCAAATGGCCAGGAAACATATGAAAAGATGTGCAGCATCACTTATATTCAGGGGAACGCTGTTAAAGTGACGATAACGTATCACTTTACGTCCATCGCACTAACAAAAATGAAGAGCTCTAGGAGCCAGTGCTTGAGGGGATGCAGAGAAAAGGGTATGCGCATGCATTACTAGTGAAAATGTGAAGGGTTTCAGCCTTTTAGGAAAGCAACCCAGCAATTTCTATTAATTAAAAATACATATAATCAGAGATTCCACTCCTGGGAATCTATTAGCACTAAAAGTACCGATACGTAAAGTCATATGTATTAGGATGTTGATTAGAGCATAATCTAAAAACTGGAAATGAGAGGATGCCTCTCAGCAGGAGAATGGCTGAGTAAATAATGTACATCCACACTAGGGAATATTATGCAACCATTAAAAAGGATGGATTGGAGCTCCACCAGATGACCTAGAGGGATTTCTGGAGGAATTGTTGAGGAAGAAAAGATGTGTAGAAGTGTGTATAATATGATCTCATTAGTATTAATGATACGCAGATCTGTAGAGAAAATCTAGCAATCTGTCTATCTCTAAAGAAAAATAAGGAAGGAGACACACTGGGTTGAGGGGGTGGTAGATGATGTGAAAGGAGGGAGAAGAGAAAGAGGGAAAAAAAAGAAAAAAGGTGCTAAAAAAGCATGCATGTGATCTTGTGTATGCATTTAGGTAGAGTATGTATATGTCAGGATCTATATATAAATAAAAAATAATTAAAAAAAAAAAATCTTTGGATCCTCAGGTTGTGAGCTCAGGCAGGGGTAGGCCAGCCTTAACTATGGAGGCCAGGGAGGCTGGAAAGGACAGTCCTGTGGGGAAGCCCGTTACTGGGCCACTAGGAGATTTGCATTCACAGTAAGCTGCCATGGGGCCTCTAGGGAAACCAGTGGGTGGGGTTATTCAGTGTCAGATGGTTCACCATGCCTTGCCCAAGCAGAAAGAGTCTCTGTATCCAAAGAGATGGAGGGCATGATGGGAGAGGAGTGCATCTCATTTATCTGCCTGCATAGGGCAGGCCCTCAGGGGATGCTGCATTAAATGAGCCTGATGCTACATTTCTTAGCCCCAGCTCATCCAAGTCTCAATCTCCCCATCTGTAAAGGGAAATGAGTCTCTTCCTTAAAACAGGTGGCTGAAATCAGATAACGCAAATGATCTCACTGTTGGACTTGCCAGTGCTATATAAATTCAAAGCATGAACAAATAAGAAGCTACTGGTATTTACTGCTCAAACAGGCCCAGATTAAGATTTTAGTGGTGAAAAGGCAGTGTTAGTTTTCTCCTTGACATTCTATTATTCAATACCACAGGTAACCTAAGTTGGAAGAATCCCCTTGGGGATTTCTGAACGCAAAAAAGCAAACAATTACAGGTCCACTTCTTCCTTCCCAAATTTATTTTCACTTCCTAAATTGACCCTGATGCAAAATAGATTGCTCATTATTCAGGTAAAAGAGGATGATGGGGAGGTCTGGTTAGCTGGAACCCTGTGACAAGCATTTCTCTCTTACCAAATATACAATAAAAACACATCCCTTAACTGCCTGGTTAGCCAACAAGAAGAAAACGAAAAATTAGAGCGCCCTTAATTTTCTGTTAAACATTTTTTGAAACCACCAGAAAGGTGCCAATGAACATGATTTATTTGCTTACATCTATTCACTTCATCCACTCTTTCATTCAAATGCTCATTGTGCACCTGCTCAGAGTCAGGCATGTGCTTGCTGCTGAGGACTCGAAGAGGAACACCACACAGTCCCTGCCCTCAGGGAGCTCACAGTCTGCCTAGCTCTGGTGAGGAAAAAGATGCTTCCAACAATAATTCTGGTTTAAAAAAATCAAAACAAAACCAGTTGCTGTGAGATCACCATGAATCAACTCTAACTCATGGTGACCCCACGTGTGTCAGAGTAGAACTGTGCTCCATAGGGTTTTCAATGGCTGATTTTTTGCAAGTGGATCATCAGGCCTTTCTTCCAAGGCGTTTCTAGGTAGATTTGACCCTAGTAGCCGAGCATTTAACCATTTGTGCCACTCACCAGGGTAACTGTCAGTGTTCATGCATTTGAGTGAATTCCACTACAGGTGTCTACACTGCGGAAGGTTTCGGCAAAGGCAAAGCTCCTTGATACTGAGGCCTTGGGGGCCCTCACACAGACATTCAAACGATCATGATGTTCATGTCTCTGGGACACTCCTGCTTCGGTATCCGTTTCCTGCCCTGCTCTGCAGAGTATAACATTCACCGAGTTGTCTATCACAACCTAATAAATCAGGTTCCAATCCTTTAGTTTTATAACTTGGCTTCTGAGTCATATTTTAAAATAAAATTCCTTGAAGCTAAATAAAAAACACTGCTATCATGAAATTAATTTAATGGTAGAAATTTTTGAGTCAAATTTCAGGGGGGAAAAACTGAAAAAAACAAATGCAGTAGTTAGATATTTCATGGAAGGGGAGGGGGCACGATTGTTGGTGCTGTGCCTCTGAACTCTCCTAAGGCTCAGTTTTATCCCAGTATCCATTGTCTGGAAGGAGCCCTGGTGGTGCAGTGGTTAAAGCGCTTGGTTGCTAACCAAAAGGTTGGCATTCAAACCAACCAGCCACACGGGAGAAAGATGTGGTAGTCTGCTTCCGTAAACACTTACAGCCTTGGAAACCCTATGGGGTCGCTATGAGTCGGAATCAACTCGACAGCAGTGGGTTTGATTTTGGGGTTTATCCATTATCTGGAAGGGGTAATAAGAAGTCTAATCCTATGGAAGATAATAATAAATTCACATTAATTACCTCTGTATTTGAGGCTCTACCTGAAGAAGTTCTATCTCAGTGTGATCTTCCTGAACACCAACATAGAGAATAGAGAAGAGATCAAAACCTGAATGAATAATTGGTGTAAATATGTGCATACACACCAGGAAGGGCTTTAACAGTGAGATTCCTCCTACAAACTACCCACAAAAGTTAATTTTATTATTTTATACTTATGCGTATACACATTAACAGTAGCCCTGGTGGTACAACAGTTAAGCACTCGGCTGCTAACAGAAACACTGGGGGTTTGAACCCACCCAGCAGCTTGGTGGAAGAAACACCTCGCAATCTGCTCCTGAAAGATTACAGCCTAGGAAACCCTGAGGCAGTTCTACTCTGTCACATAGGGACGCTGAGTCAGAATCAACACGAGGGCACCTAACAACAACTTATACATGAAAAACCACAGGGAGGGCTAAAGATCAAAGAGCCAGGTCATGTTCTCAAAAGGAAATAATAAGTGAATTACAGTATTATTTATCCTCCCATCTCACTTTATTTGGAATAACCCAGCAGAGTCTGATGAATTGGTTGAGCCTGGATCTTAGACGAGAAATTCACATGCCTTGTGTGGAAACAGTAAAAACATATTCATTTACATCATCCACTAGTGACTTCAATTAAAGCAGAATATATTAATTAAAACAAATAATTAGCTTTGACAACTGAAGTGTCAAGGAAACCACAATTCATTCATCTGTTATTGGTTCATCTCTTTTGAAATATTAGCTTACTTCCATGTGGTAGAGAAGCCCTGGTGGCGCAGTGGTTAAAGCACTCAGCTACGAACCAAAAGGAACTCACCAGCATTCCGCAGGAGAAAGATGTGGCAGTCCACTTCCATAAAGATTTATAGCCTTGGAAACACTATGGGGCAGTTCTACTGTGTCCTGTAAGGTCTTTATGAGTCTGAATCAACTCGACGGCAATAGGTTGGGTGTGCTTTGGTTTTGGCCATGTAGCAATCTATTTATAAACAGATCCAGGCAATTAGACAAATTTCTAGTCTGAAATTACCACTGAAGCCTGAGATGAAGTTAAAGGCAAAATGCTTCCAAACTAGAAAATGCGGATACCTGAGTACCCATACCTGGGCATATCCTCGGGTTACAGGTGCCCACCACTCTCAGGAAATAAAGGGTTAAGTGTGAAATTTTTTTAGAAAAAGGTTATATGTGGACTGTAAGAAATTTATTAGACTCACAGCCAAATTATCTGATGGGTTAGAGATGTTCCCTAAATACCATAAGCCAAACTCAGATACTTCTACCATTAGCTAAAAGGCTGAGAAATGCTCTTTCTCTATTAACGCATTTTTAAAAGTGAAAATGGTAAAGCACTATGCCATAAAGTGGACCTTTATTTCAGGCCTGCATTACAGTATTTAATACATAGGTTCCTAAAAAGAAGGATGGCAATCTATTTTATCTTGTAAAATGCATAATCTAATATGAATTAGAGGGACTTAAAGCTACCCTACTTTGAAATCCTTTGTAACTCAAAGATGGTTTTTTAATGGAAAATTACCTAGTTTGGCTCTTCCTCTTTTTACACATTGTTTTAATCATGTTTTTTTGCATGTATACTTTTTATTGTCAGTTGCCTCATTTGACCACGTAAGATGTACAAACATTATTTAAAAGTGCACAAAATAATTACCGTAATTATATCCATTTATTAAGCTATATCTACAACAATTTCTCATAAACACCGTCTCTTTGCAGTCTTTTCTAATTAGAAGTTCACATTGTGGCAGGTACTTATTTTTTGCTTTCAAGGAGGGAAAAATAACTTTGCTTGAAAAGCTTCGGGCATTTGGTTAGCGTAAGCTATAGCAAATTGCTCCTGTATACTCCAAAAGGACAGGAAAACTCTTTTGTTTGAGCACCGCAGGGGCAGAGAGGGGCTCCGGTCTGAGCCTCTGGCTAGCATTCAACTCCTCCCCGCCCCCCAAAGTGGGAAAGTAACATTAAGAAAGTTCCGATGAAAGAGCCCACGACAGAGCACCCAACCATTTGCATTGTTAAAAGTCAGACAGCAATAAGGCAACTTTAATAAAGGGGGAGCAGGAGTGTGGCGATAATTTTCTATATTCCCGAATAAATTTTTTGAGGGGCGATTTTAGGAGAGGGGCGAAAACGAGGTGCTGAAAGAAGTCAAACAGGGCCTTTATGCAGAAACCTGGGTCTAAATGCATCTTTTACAATAGCGATAACCGACAATAGCCAAGAGCAAGTCCCGCACCCCATGCAAAGGAAGGCTGTGGTAACACCCGGCTGTAGCGTCGCGGTTTGCTGGCTTAACTGTGGTTCCGACTGTAACCCAGTCTCAGGACTCCCGGGCAGGATCGCCGGGGCCATCCCTGGGCTCACTTGGCCGCATTCCACGACCTCCGCGCGCCAACCTCCTGCCCCGGCCCGCCGCGCGTCCGCCATTCCCGCGGCCCACACTCACCCCATCACCCACGCAGCGCGGTGGGAGCCAGACAGCGGCTGGGAGTCGGCGAACGCGGATCCCCTCCACGATCCCCGCAGACATTTTGTCCTGCACAGAAATCTCCGTGCTTCCGCCTTAAAGACACAGCGCTCAATTTGCAGAGTATGGGAGCAGAAAGAGGAGCGGTAACGTGTGACCTGTACGTGAAAAATGTGCGGGAGACACTCCTAAACCATCCAGGTCCAAGAGGGGCACACCTGGGTTTGCCAAGGTCTAAAAGCGGTGCAATAGTTTAGTGATTTAGAAAATAATGCAATCTATCTTTTACATCTTTTACATTAACCTTCCAAGACCTGGATTCCCCAGTCTAGAGTCTCTGAGTGCAGTTGGCAGCATTTCAGGTTTAAGATGTGTGATGTCACAAGCTGTTAGAAAAAAATACTCCCGAAATCAAGGTTTGGACAGATAAAAGTAGCGCCTATTGGTGTTCACCAAAATTTAATAACATCAGCGTGGTGTATCAGTCAGCTTTTGCTGGATTATGCTGAGGTAACAAATACCCCCTATAACTCAGTGATTTACAACAAAGGTTCATTTCTGTTAGCTGCGGGCAGCTTTGGCTCTGCTCCACCAGTTTTCTTTAATCTATTTGGGACAAGTTCACTGGTGTGCTGGTAAGCTGCGGGAACAGAAATGGAAAGGCCTAATTTGTACTGCTGCTGATTTCCATGGTGTAAATACTCCCACCAAGGCCATTTTAACCTACAAACAGTTTAACAAGTGGCTTGCTGATTGCCGGAAATTTAGCGGCTCTTGTACACCACTGGCACGTGCTGCTCTGAGAATTTCTGCTCTGAGGTGGCACACCTCAATTGTACTCACATTGCTTTGGCCAAAGCAAGTCATATGACCAAGCCTGTTGTCAATAGGATCGGAAAGTATACTCCTCTCCCAAGAAGCCTTGCGAGTCACAGAACAGGCAGAGAAGTATAATCCTCATAAAAGGAGCGCGAGGAATAATTGGTTACAATAATGCAATCCACCCTACATGCTTTGGTTCAAGTAATTTTTTTTTTTTTTTGACCTCATGTTTTTCTATAAATTAGAGTTTCAAAGTCCATTTAATAGAATTTCTCCTAACCGTTTCAAGAGTGGTTTAAGAAGAAGGAAAAGACTGGGTGTCTTCAAAAGGAAAATGTTGCCATGTGAAGGTTAACTTTTAGGTTGCTACCTTTCTTCTCTCCCAAAAGGGCACTTACAGCTATAGACATCTAATTAAATAACTAGTATAATTAAGTCAGTTTAAAATCACTTCTAATTCATGTTTTAATTATAAATAAAAATTCAAAGTTTATCTTATCTGGCACCCCTTTTAACAGTGGCTTTATTACTCTGAGTGCCTTACAAATCTATTTGCTTTTTACCAACCAATCCATTCCCGTGGACTTGATTCGGACTCATAGCGACCCTGTAGGACAGAGTAGAACTGCCCCATAGGGTTTCCAACAAGTGACTGGTAGATGTGAACTGCCAACCTTTTGGTTAGCAGCTAAATGCTTAACCACTGCGCCACCAGGGCCCCCATGTAATGAGGTACATGATATTTTATTAGTTTATGTAACAGTTTTTAGTAAATGCTGGTTATAGGCAAAGCACTATCATAAGCCCTAGTAGGAGTCTAGAGATTCAAGAGACCATTTCTGCCCTCAAGAAGATTACACTCAATTAAGGCAGTGAGAGGAGGCCTGGTTGCTCAATGGTTAAGCACTCAGCTGCTACCCAAAGGTCAGTGTTTCAAACCCACCAGCTGCTCCTTGGGAGAAAAAACCTGGCAATCTGTTCCAATAAAGATTACACACTAGGAAACCCTCCAGGGCAGTTCTACTGTGTCATATAGGGTCACTATGACTTGGAATCGACTCAACAGCACACAACAAGACAGTACGACAAGTGCAACTCAGGAAGAAAGTGAAAAATGATGTAAGAGGAAATATTCAAGTGCCGCACTAAACTGAAAGCATCTTCTTGAAAGTGGAAGCTTTTAACTGAGACCTGAAGGGTAGGATTTGAGCTCCTGGGCGTTATTGTCCTAGCAAGACGTGCTGGATTTATTTTTAAAGTCCATAGAAAAGGAGCCTGTTTTTTTCTGTTTGTTGCAGCGCAAAAGTTTTTTATAACCAGAAACCTCGTTCTTGTAGTTTTAAATTAAGTTTTAAATCAAATTATAAAATATATCTCAAATATCTAACAACGTTTCTTTTCTCGGGCCCATAAAAACCTCAATTGTTCAAGTTTCAGCCCAAGAAATATTCTTCAGTTCTTGATGTCTTGGTGGTGGCAGTTCTTCTAGCTTTCAGCATGCATTTAACAACAAATAAATAACATTTGATGTTCGTAAGAGGGCCTCATTCCTATCCTCTGTTCTGGAAGCTGTCAAAGAGTAAAGACCTGCATTTCATTGGTAATGTAGAATATTTGCTTTCCAAATTCTCACCCCACCACTTGTCTGTCAGTTTGTCGTGCTGTGAGGGCTTGCATGTTGTTGTGATGTTGAAAGCTATGCCACTGGTATTTCAAATACAGGCAAGGTCACCCATGTTGGACAGGTTTCAGGGGAGCATCCAAACTAAGATAGACTGGAAGAAGAACCTGGCCGTCTACTTCTGAAAAAATTGGCCAGTGAAAACCTTATGAATAGCAGCAAAACATTGTCTGATATAGTGCCAGAAGATGAGCCCCTCAGGTTGGAAAGCACTCAAAATATGACCATGCATTTGCATTGGGCAAATCTGCTGCAAAGACCTCTTTAAAGTATTAAAAAGCAAAGATGTCACTTTGAGAACTAAGGTGGGCCTGACCCACACCATGATATTTTCCGTCTCCTCATATGCATGCGAAAGCTGGCCAATGAATAAGGAAGACCAAAGAAAAATTGATGCCTTTGAGTTATGGTGTTGGTGAAGAATAGCGAATATACAATGGACTATCAGAAGAACAAACAAATCTGTCTTGGAAGAAATACAGTCAGAATGCTCCTAAGAAGTGAGGATGGCGAGATATCATCTCATGTACCTTGGACATGTTGTCAGGAGGTACCAGTCCCTGGAGAAGGACATCATGCTTGGTAAAGTGGAGGGTCAGCGAAAAAGAGGAAGTCCCTCTATGAGATGGATTGACACAGTAGCTGCCACAATGGGCTCAAACACAGCAACAACTGTGAGGATGGTGCAGGACCAGGCAGTGTTTTGTTCTGTTGTACAAAGGGTCGCTATAAGTCAGAACCGACTTGATGGCACCTAACAACAGATTCTCACTAAATATTACAGCCTCGAGTTCTTCTGTCTAATCCATATCAAAATCTGGAGTGAGAAAAATATTTATGAAGATTACCTCAAAAACCTAGAGCTGGATACATGGACCACACTGTTTTGGTGCCTCCTAGATATACTTTTACTGAAATGCCTTGAGGTCTTGTGTTTCAGAGTATAACTGTGCTCCACAGGGCTTTCAACAGCTGTGACCTTTTGGAAATTGATCACCAGGCCTTTCTTCCAAGGCACCTTAGCTGCATAAAATTCATTATCAGGTTTAACTTAAGGAAGTCATCCACCCCATCACACAGTGTCTTCTCTGTAGGACCCAGAGGACAGCATTCTGTAAGATCCCAGTGTCATGCAAAGCTGTACATCCTTTGAACAAGTGGGACCTTTTAATCCCGTGGACACTGTGGATCATGTAACAGACTGTTTCCTTGCTTTAGCTGCCAGAAGGCTGAGTCAAATGTGCGATACCTACCAGTTCCACACTGTCAACATTTCTGTGTGCTAATCTTACCCCTTTCCTCATTTTTAAAAATCTTGATTAATTTTGTTGTTGTTGAGAACATACACAACAAAACATACATCAATTCAAGTTTCCACATGTACAGTTCAGTGACATTAATTATATTCTTTGTGTTGTGCAATCATTCTCACGCTCCTTTTCTGAGCTGTTCCTCCCCCATTAACATAAACTCACTGCCTCTTAAGTTTCCTGTCTGATCTTTCCAGTTACTATTGTAAATTTGATTCCATATAGATAGTTCATAAAAGAGCGTAATGCTCAAGGCAGACATTTTTTATTAGTTAAGCTAAACTATTGTTTGGTTTTAAGAAGACTTCAGGGGATATTTTTGGTTTAAGGTTTAAAGATTATCTCAGGGCAATAGTTTCAGTGGTTCATCCAGCCTCCATGGCTCCAGAAATTCTGGATTCCACGAGAATCTGAGAAATTCTGTTCTGCATTTCCCCATTTTGATCAGGATTCTTCTGTAGAATCTTTAATCAAAATGTTCAGTAATTGTAGTTGGGCATCATCCAGTTCTTCTGGTCTTATGACAAAGGAGGCAATTGTTCATGTAGGCAATTAGCCACAATTCCATATCCTCCTCCTGTTCCAGACTCTCTTTCTTCCTCTGTTACTCAAATAGAGACCAATTGTTGTGCCTTGGATGGCCACTTGCAAGCTTTTAAGACACGAGGCACTATGCAATGAACTAGGAGGTGGAACAGAAGCACTAAATGCATTATTAGCCTAAGTAACTGGAATTTCCCATGAAACCATGACCCTAGACCTCCAAACCAAGGAACCAAATCCCATGAGGTGTTTCGTTGTACATAAGCAGCCTCAGGTACTCTTTTTTTTTGGTCATTTTAAATATATCTATCATACAACTTTTGCCAATTTAACTTTTTACAAGTGTACAACTTATTGACAGCAATTACATTAACTGGCTGTGCAACCTACTGCATAATCAATGCGATTTTTCCGTTACTGTTAACCCCCCTTTCCGCCTCCTCCGGCCCCTAGTAACCACTGATAAACTAGGCTCTCTATATGTTTGCCTTTTGTTTGTTTGTGAGGTCATACAATCTTTCCTCGTCTTTTATTTTCCTACCATATTTTCCTTTTGTTAATGATTCCCTAGATGACTTAGTTTTTCCTTCTTGATTTTATGCGTTTTTGGCAAGGTCTGAAGGAGAGAAAGCAGAAAGGAAGGGAAGAAAGTAGGGAAGGAGAGAGAAAGAGGGAGGAAGGAAGAAAAGTTGGCCAAAGAAACTAGGCATTGATTGCTAAGACATGGAACTTGAGGAAC